AACTTACCTCAAGTTGCCTTTTTGGACATGCATGCAAATATTTGTACAAATTGTACTTGAGAGGAGATTATTACAGCCTCATATAAAATCAATGATGATCATGATATCGGAACTGGATCGGTATCGGCCGATACTCAGATTTAGGTATCGGGATCAGATCGGAAGTAAAAAAAGTGGATTGGTGCATCCCTAATTTCTAGTCAAAGTCATGTTTAATGGTACTTCCAATTGTTTTCATGCTTAGTATTGTTGTCATTTAACTTTGACAATGAACTATTAATGTAATTTGTGATTTCCTTGTTTGTTATTGACTTCTATATTTTATTGTTATGCCTAACTTTATTATTTCCCTTCCTTTGTGGTGCTGCCAGGAATTTGTTTTTAGTGTTTATGTCTGGTTAAATAGAGGTGAAATTAAATTAAAGTCAAATACTATGTTGCACGTGTTTAACTTTTTGGTCACCTGATCAGAGTATGGAAAGACGAGATATATGTTGTTTTTGACTTACAAAGCTGATGAAAAAACTCTTCTACTTTCTGACAGAAACAAAATATACCGTACTTTATGCTTTTACAAACAGATGCTTGGCTTTCTGAGCTCACCCTGATGGCATTCCTGGAGGAGTTTTTATCATCCACGTTGACAGTGAGTGAGAAGAAGACAGCTGTGCTGTACACTCCCTGTGTCCTGTAAAGTAGCTCATTGAAATCTGGCCTCTGTGGGGCACCCTCCTTCTCCCACCCAGCAGCACCAGGAGGAGCCCCCACCAGGTCCCATCCTCCACAGCTGTTTATCACCTCCATCATGGGGCCAGACCCCAGTTTGTCAATCTCCTGGATGTTGACACAGGATCGATAGAACTCCTTCACCTTGCGTTCTGCCGAGTTTGGCCCATGCCTACGTATCGGCTCCTGCAGGAGGCGCTGTAGTTTTTCCTCATTGTGTTCTCCTATAGCTGTGATGATGCCATAGCTGAGCTTGTCCTCGGGGATGCCATGACGCCTCAACCAGCCACCACAGGCGAAGGAGTAGAAGTCTTGGCAGGGCTGGATGGTTGGGTCAATATTGGCCTGAACAAAGCGAGCTGCCCGCAGAAGGGAGCGTTTGCGTTGGCAGTCCTGTCTGCACTGCGGGTCCTGCTGGGCATCCAGAGAAATGTACTTGAATGCCAACATGCTTCCCAGGATGACACACATGCCTGCAGCAAAAACCAAAGCTGAGAGGAGGCAGATTTCTCTCCTGCTCCACCGAGGAAGGCCGCCGCTGCTGCTGTTGCTGCTAAGATCTCTGTTTCTACTATTTGACCAGGTCCCTCCTCTTCCTCGTCCCACATGGCGATCCAGGCTTCCCCCTAGGTGAAGGGTCATCCCGTTGCTGAGGATGTCACTACTGTAGCGACCGCCATATTTCACTTCCTGGAACTCGTCATAATGGGCAGTTAATGAATATGTCTTCTCCATAGCAAAGGGGGTTCTGAATAACAGAAAGGTTTAGGGTAAAAAGTGCTAAAAAAAAAGTGACTATTTCTGTTTTCAGAGACAAAAGTGAAAATTCTCATTACAGTGCAGATGTAATTTCAAAAACCTGTGTGCCAATAATATTCTAATGTTGACAATGATAGGCCAATTTTATTCTAATGAAATCCAAAGCATGTAGAGTAAGAGGCTTCCATTTTTGAAGGAGCAATCTTGCTTTTTTCTCTTCCACGTTCTCTTTGCTCTCCATCCATTAGTTCTTCTCTCCTCCCTTTTTGCAAACAGTTACATGTCACCTGTCAATGAAAAAAAAAAGAGACAAAAGAAGGCTGTAACATGAGATTGGAAATTGGATCCACCATCACAATAGTAGAAACTGACAAAATAAAGTCTGTTTTGCCACATTTCCCCCCACTGTGTCTGGCTCTGTTTGTCATCTGAGGCTGCTCAATTGATCAGAGCGTGAGCCCGCAGGGGGACAGCAGCCCCTGGGTGACTCACAATTGGGGACAACTCACTAGAGACAGCAATCACAAATATGAGCATCAGCTGGGAATGAGGGGGAGTGACAACCATCTTAACTTGGTATGCGCTCATCCAAGTTTATGTAAAACTAATATTATTGCAGATCAGAGACATGCAGTCAGGGGAGGCAAGTTAAGCAGTGCCTCACCTGTCATCATGACAACTAAAAATATGATAAGAGAAAATACATTTGACCACTTGACTGTTCTATAAAAGTGTTTTATAAAATTCAATTCAATTCAGTTTATTTATATAGCACCAAATCACAACAAAGTTGTCTCAGGGCACTTTACAGGAACATTCACACACATAAAAGCCAATTAGTAAAGTTCTCAGGAATCCAGCAGACAAGTTGAATCTTGGCTTTGTTGCAGTCTCCCATCCTGAGCAAGCACAGTGGCAACAGTGGAAAGAAAAACTCCCTTTTAAAAGGAAGAAACCTCCAGCAGAACCAGGCTCAGGACAAGAGACCATCTGCTTTGACCGGCTGGTTGATGATATTACCATACCATACCATACCAATTTATTTATATAGCACTTAAAACAGCAACAAGGCCAACCAAAGTGCTGTACAAAAGAACACAAACATGCACAGCAGACAGGAAAACATAAAATAGAAATACAGATACAAATAGCAGCAGAAGCTAACTAAAATGGCCAACAGAGTAGAGAACAGACCGGGCCATATTATCATTGATAAAGATCAATGATAGATAATGGATAATGTGTCAGCCTCACGGACAGAGATTGGAAGTTGGTTCCACAAGAGAGGAGCCTGAGAACTGAAAGATCTTCCTCCCATTCTGTTTTTGTAAATTCTAGGAACCACAATAAACCTGCAGCCTGATAGTGAAGTGCTCTGTTAGGAAAATATGGAACAATAAGATCTGTAATATAAGATGGAGCTAGGTTGTTGAGAGCTTTGTAGGTTAGAAGTAAGATTTTGAATTATATTCTGGATTTGACAGGGAGCCAATGGAGAGAAGCTAAAACTGGAGAAATATGATCTCTCCCAGTAACTCCAGTTAAGACTCTGGCAGCAGCATTTTGGATCAACTGAAGACGTTTTAAAGAAGTATTTGGACACCCAGATAATAAACCATTGCAATAGTCCAGTCTAGAC